AAATGGAAAAAAAGAAGCAGGGACGGTAAGTAGGGAAAAGTCCCAAACTTAAAGAGGCTTAAAACTTTCCTCCCTCCCTCCCTCCCTCCCCCCTCTCCTCCTCCCATCACTGCCTCCATTCACACCCATCTATCTCTATAACTGTACATGTCTCCCTCCTTCTTCATCTCTCCATCAGAGGAACAGAATCAGGGTAGAATCAGCCTGGAGGCAGTCCTATGTAGATCAGCTCTTTTGTAATGCAGTAAAAACGTCCTCTGCTGTTCCCTGTTGGGACATACTCAGTCCCAGCGGCACACTGATGACATGTACTGTATATTTCTATGTGGGGTGAACGTTAAAAACAGAATAAATAAGACTGTGTTGGAACAAGAGCTGGAAATTAGTTTCGGCTATGAATACTGTGAGGTGTGGCAGTACGTTTGGTGAATGATCTTTACTAAATGTTGTACGGTTGTTTGCTGACCTGCCAGTTTCTGTCAACAGAACCACCACGTTCACGGCCTCAATGTCTGCAGCAGCTATTTTCAACTTGCCTGAGATTAAAAGGTGAGAAAAGACAAAGCACAGTCCAGCACGCTCCTGCTTTCCACCTACTGTGTACTAAAGCCTGGAAAACAATATGTGTCATGTGTCATCTCAGATGTGCCTGTTATCCCACAACTAGCTTCAGCTTTAGATACGGTCAGCAGCAATATTTTAGTGTTTGAAAAAAATACCACCATTGCCTTTTGATATCACTTATTAGGCTACTGTACTATTAATGTAACAGCAACTATTAAAGATCATATTGAGATTAAGTTTTATTGTATTTTTCTGAACAATCACTATGTTTCATATCAGCTTGTATCACGCTTGCAGGAACGCACAATACCACGTGATTAACGTTGTAAACGATTGGTTCGGTTTAGGCAAGGTAACAATGTAACACCGTAATGTAACACCGTAATGTAACAATGTAATGTAACAATGTAATGTAACAATGTAACGTAACAATGTAACGTAACACCGTAATGTAACAATGTAAGGTAACAATGTAACTTTACACCGTAATGTAACAATGTAATGTAACAATGTAATGTAACACCGTAATGTAACAATGTAACGTAACACCGTAATGTAATAATGTAACGTAACAATGTAACGTAACAACGTAACGTAACAACGTAACGTAACAACGTAACGTAACAACGTAACGTAACAATGTAACGTAACACTGTAATGTAACAATGTAATGTAACACTGTAACGTAACAATGTAAGGTAACACCGTAATGTAACAATGTAAGGTAACACCGTAATGTAACAATGTAAGGTAACAATGTAAGGTAACACCGTAATGTAACAATGTAATCTAACACCGTAATGTAATAATGTAATGTAACAATGTAACGTAACACCGTAATGTAACACCGTCATGTAATAATGTAACGTAACAATGTAACGTAACAATGTAACGTAACAACGTAACATATTGTAACAATGTAACCTAACAACGGAATGTAACAACGAATCGTAACATAATGTAACTAAAGTAAATAAATAATCCACCGACTTTCTGATGTAACATAAAAAGCATCAACATTTACTTTAAGTTTCATACCGAACATGAACAACCATCTCCTGGGTTAAAGTCCTGTGTTGGTTTGACCCACCCATCCATCCCCACTCCCACCAGTCCAGAGTGGACTAAGTAATCATTATCATGATGATGCCAAAAATACTTGAACATTCAATGTATCTGTGGTTTGCAGCGATACTAAAGTCAACATTATTCCCTGGCGACTGTTGAAGGACACTGTGTGGGAGTCAAACTTGTGATTTTCTGGTTACAAAATGGCCTCTTCCTACATGTTCCACTTCAGAGACGAGTGCTATAGTCTGCAGTCATTCTGCTCCACCTCTGGGTCTTTCCCCTAGGAAACACACGCACACACACACACGCACATGCACACACGCACACGCACACACGCACGCGCACACACGCACGCACGCACACACAGACAGTGAGCTACCACGATAGCCGGAAGGACAGTCCATCATTTGATTTGGACAAAGTGTTATTAAAACCCACTTAGTCGTGGCTGTAAGAGCAACAAGCTATGGAAACTATGCAGTCGGCCACAGGCTGAACGAGCCAGCCCTCCAGACATCTGCTTCAAATCGGACCAAAAACAGAAGAAAAGTGAGAAAGTTTCACTGTTACTAAGACAGCATCTCTCCCACTCATTCATCGCGACAGCACACTTTGTTTCATGACATTACAACCCCCCGTCCTCACAAACAATCGCAACATTTCCAAACAAGCGCTGTAAGCAAACTTTGGGTTTCCAAGGCAAACTATTGCAACCAACAACTGATGGCTGCCAGCTAAACACAGACGGAGCTCTACATCTCCTCCCCACTGCATGTCTGCACCAACTGGCAGGTCTAGTTCATTTTGAATACTGTCCCATATCACATGGAGTATCTCAACCAGCCACAGGCCCACAGCAGCAGCAGCTCTTAACCTCAAGCCTCCAAAGAAGACAATGACAATCATCCCTCCAAAAGATATTTATTGAGCCAATGTTCTGTGATAATGAATGATCCAAATGGTCAAAGCCTGCTGACAACTCCATAAACTAGCAAGAGGCCCAGGCAGTAAAGCACCCCCACTGCTGGAGGCTGTGGAGTTGATTGTATTCTGACTACAGCTACAGGCCCAGACAGGACGAGGCCCCGGCGAGAAGTCTCTACTGCAAACAGTCATTTGAGTCGACATGGAGAACACGCCCACCCTGCTGTATGAGAGAGAGGCCATCAGCCCACCTTCCCCAGCGTTCTAACAGAAAAACAATGTTGAGTGTTTTGTGAAAAACAGCAATTTCACCTGGCATTGTGAGAACGTATGGAGAGTGTATTAAGTGTGCACATACCTGTGTGCATGTGTCAAAAGAGCAGCTTCAACACACACATCCATCTGACGTTGGTCAATAAAAACACAGGATTGAAATCAGCAGCAGTCACAAAGACAATGTCTCACTAGTGTAAAGATGACTATGAGCAACAGAAATATGTTGATATTAACAACATGAAACAATAAGTAGAACACATTTTGCACTGAAGGATCCATTTAGAAATGAAGCTCAAGCATAACTTCAATCCATTGCACGTTTAAGGTCTGTAGTTTATTTCTTAATTTCCTTGTTGTCATTTTTTGTGGCTGTCAAGCATGATCAATGTTACACGGGTCCCTCAAACTCCCCATCTCTGCCCAGTCTCTGCAGCTTCATCAGCTTCATCAGCCAACACCACCAGTATCTGGACTGAGTTACAAATCTCCCAGTAGTCTAAACGGCAAAGACTCTTCATCATCACACATCATCTGTTTGTAATAAACAACTATTAAAATGCAATTATAACAGAGCCTGTGAGCAACATGATGATACTCTGAGCTTGATGTAGATTTGCACAATTAATTTGATAAAAATCGCAATATGCCCAAATGCAATTTTGAAATTGCAAGAGGCGTAATATTTATTAAAGGCGAAATGTGTTCGAAAATATAATATTAAGTGAAAAATGTTGCTGCAGAGACGTCCTGACCTACACAGACTTAAAAAAAACTCTTACAGATCCTCGCAAAAATCACACATAATCAATTTTATAAGATTTATAAGTCAAAATAATCACAATAAGATATTCATTACAGCTGTAGCTTGATGTCTACTGTTAAAAAGATTGCAGATGTCAGCAGTGTGCAAACATCTGTCTGATAGCTGGATCTAACTCTCTCAGCTGTGAGTAGGTCAGGATGGAGAGCCTCGTCACCTTCTAAATCACCGCTGTGGTAAACAGCCTCCCGGGATGCGGTCAAACTAAAATCACGGACCTCACCGCGAGTCACCATCAGATAATGAGTCCACTGCGTCTGAGCTGAGAAGAGCTTTGAACTGTGGCTGCGGTGTCTCACGGCAGGGATCCTTAAATTAAACGTCAACTTCTTTTCACACAAAACAAGATGACACAAATAAAAGGCTCTAGCTGGCTGCGTGAGTGGTTGCTCTGGGATGTTCTCACACAGTCTGAAGTCATCTCAAAGGGCAGCAGGCGTTTCCTTTTAAAAGCCTTTGTGTATCCAAATTAAGTTGAGAAGAGATAGCTCCTTCTTAGCACTGCCCTGAACCCCGGCTGCTTACTGAACTCCTTTACCGCTTGCAGCATCCGGCCCCTCTAAGGTTTCCCTCAAGTGCCTCACTTGAGGAAACTTCAACACTTCTAATTCAATTATTTCCATGTCCCGACATTCAAACCATCAGCCGTCCAACAAAGAACCCAACGTCTTGGCTCCGGCGGCTCACAAGCTTCACTCATTGTTCTGACTGCACAACAGCACAGAGTGGAACCGAATCAAACCCACAGAAGACTAAAACAGCAGCAAAGCAGAATCCAAAGCAGATAGAATTCAAACAGACACACGAGGATGAAAGTAGAGAACGAATGAGTAGAAAGTGGAGACAAGTGAAAAATAAAGAGGGTGGGGGATTGTTGATTTGGTCCCCGATTAGCAGTCCGCCTCGCCGCTCATCGTGACCACCACATCACACTCACACCTCCACTTTCTCACATCATCAGCAGCAACATCTGCAGCATCACACCGACACATAGCGTGAACGATGATAAATCGAGCAGATCATGACAGATAAATATCTGCTCGAATAACATTAACACTTATGATTCAAACTTGAAAAGGTGAGTTACTCACAAGATCTCGTCGTTCTGAAATTCCAGGATGCCGTGAACGTCCTCGAAGTCCTCCCCGCTGCCTCGCGCCGTCCCCTCCACCGTCTTGTACGGCAGCGTGACCACGCCGCGAGCCCCCGACGTTCTCAGCACCTTCACCTCCATGGTGCCGACACTCTCGCTCACGTGGTAAACGGGCTCCTCAAACGTAAAGATACCGGCGTGGTCGTCGTCAAAGATGGTGACGGTCGCCGTGGCGGGTAAGCCGAGACACGCCATCGAGTCCACGTGATTGGCCGCCTCGCCGTCCTCGGGCTCCTCGCCTTCGGGCGTCAGCACTTTCACATTGGTGAGGTGGATCAGGAAGTTCTCGTCCTCTTCAAAGATGTCGTCGTCGATGATCCCCACACGGATCTCCTTCACTGTCTCACCGGCCTTGAAGACCACCATGCCCTCTGTGAACTCGTAGTCCGAGCCGGCGTTGGCCGTGCCGTCTTCCGTCCGGTAGTCCACAGAAATCGTTTTGCCCAAGTCGCCGCCGCGTCGCATCACGTTCACCGCCACCGTGCCGCAGTTCTCGAGGCACTGGTAAGAGCAGGGCTCAAAGAAGATCTTGGAGACGGGGTCGTTGTCGCCGACATCAGAGCGAACCTCCTGCATGCTGACGGCCTTTCGCGCCTGATCGGCGGCATGTTTCTTCAGGATGTTGCCGGCGCCCGTCATCAGCCGGGTGGCCTGGCAGCGGTAGAAGGCGCGGCTCTTCTGCTGCTGGCTGAGGACTTGGTAGTTGGCGAGCTCGATGAGTTGTTCCACCTGGTCAGAGGAAACAAGAAAGCACGTGAAAACAGTAGGAAAAGGTTTTCAACACGGCAGCTGTTCTAAAACATTGAGCCACATTCAAATCCAGACTGGACCCCAGGCCGTCGTATCTGGTACTGTGGGAAGAATGTCGTCGATGACGTTGTTGAACATTGAGCTTGTCCGGCTGAATCACAGAGATTCATGAAGCTTGTCTGGATAAATAAGTAATGCTATGTCATGTCGGTGAATCCAACATCAGAAACACTCAAAGAACAGTGATCTTACAAATAATATGTAAATATAATATGTCAAGTTAGAATTTCCATCGACAGTGTCTTTGGTTAAGTTACTCTGAGGAAGAGAGACTTTAGCAGCCAACGTCATCAAAAATATGCGTGTGCATGTTGTCAACAGAAGTGTTGTTTTGTCCAAGCCATCCAGATGAGTTATTGAGCTTTAAACTTTGAATTAAAACTATCTGGTTGTTTCATGTCCGGTTGTCAGAACCAACTCAAACTCTACAGAACAGACAGAATCACGACCGTTTCAGAGCAACAGGTGTTTCAGTTTAACCAGTGACCGTGTTAACTGGTGACGAGTGCGTCCGTAGTAACAAACGTAAATGTTTGAGGGAGAAAAGAAACACAGATGAGTCTGTCTGTGTTTAACACTGATGGAAGGCTTTAACGAGGACACCGACATGTTCTGTTGGTGCTTTCAACAGCTGACGAGCCACCACGACGCATTCGGCTGAGAGTCACCAGTCAACACGGTCACTGGCTAAACTCAAACACCTGTTGCTCGTCATCTTTGGCTGCGAGCTGTTAAACGTGTTGACGACCACTGGACCGTTTGTGACGGCCATTTTAAAAGTGAACAAAGTGAAACCTGTAAGTGTGTGTGCTGCTGTTTGACGTTCTGTTCGTGAACACAGAGATCAGAGTTGTGAAAATATGACTGAGGGAAATGTTTGTATTTGACGACAGGTTAATCAGCCTCATTGTTACTCCAAAGAGAGACGAGGGCAGAAGCGTAAAAAGCTGTTCCAGCAGCTTCTCATGCGTGTGAGACGGATTAGTGTTTCAGCTGCTTGTCTTGATGCCTGCAGCTTCCATTATGCGTTTAATTGTTAAACCTTTTGCAGAGAACAGGAGGGGCGATGAGTGGAACGCCATGTTTGATTTTTTTAAAGAGGTCTGCAAACAGACACAGTGGTCGGATAAAAAAGAGACGATGAGGAAAGAAGATTTCTCGCATTGCAGTATAGAGTTCAGTCCAGTTTCATGGTTTTCATCTTTGCGATATTATCAGACATTTTTAATTATTTAATTCTTTATTTAAGGCAGGTATTACTTCAACGGTCCTGAGTGTCTTCATTTACAGTCGATGAACCAAAGACACATTATCTATTCTATATGTTTATCATGCGTTGAAGGGAATATGAACCCACTGGAGTTTAACTGTGTTTATCTTTGATCTGCATGTGGATTTAATGCCTGCTCTGTGTCCTTTGAAACGTATCATTATCAGATTCATTTGAGAGGTTGTGATGATACCTCAGCTGCATTCATCACTATAATCACCGCGGTAGTGGAAGCGAACGGAAAAGTGCGTCATCTGTTGCTGCTTATTTTTGTCGGTTCATTTCCTACAAAAGAACACACCGCTGAGGAGAAGAGAAACCCCGACAGGAGCGGCGGTGGTTGTGCTCTCTGCGTGAGGTCGACTCACCTCCTTGTCGGGGTGTTTCTGCTTGAGCTCCTTCAGGATCTTGGCCATGTCTCTCCGGGTCTCCTCCTCATCCAGATCCTTCTCATCGATATCCAGACCCAGCGGACCGTCCAGGAAGTCAACGCCATGAGAGTTCAGCATCTTCCCATCCATCTCGATGTCCACCTTGGAACGGAAAAGAGAGAATTGTAATCAGTGCCATTGATTTGATGTCAAATTTCAAGATTAAACCATTTCTGGTGCCATCATGGAGGTTTAGTGAGAACTGTGTGTGTAGATTTGCCTCTAACAGCCATGCAACCAAAGGTCAGACATAGTTTATGTTTATGTGTCATATCACAAGTTCTCTGCTTGTTTACAAGAACAACGTATCCTCATACAACGGTTTGTAGGATATCCCACCAGATCTTACTCCTCATTTCTCGTTGGTTTTCCTACGAAGTCCAGCAACACGTGACAGTTTCAGCTTCTTACATCCATAGGGTTAGGCAACAAAACGACTTAGTTATATTTAGGAAAATATCCTCCTTTGGGTTAAAATAACAACAGAAATGCCATCACTGAAGAACACCAGTTACATGACAGAAACATCAACGTTGACTTCTCGTCTCACGCGGGGAACAAACAGCTGAAACAAACATGAAGCTTTTCGTAGGTATTGCTACGAATGGTGATGAAACAAGCCTGAAAATAAACGTACGTGTGACTACAAGCAGATACCAGACGGAGCTTTCCTTAGGTCAACACCATGGCAGCCATTTGTTTCTCTCACAGTGAAGGGCTTCTTCTCGTATTCATTGAAAGCCCTTTTACAGTTGTGTTGATGAAATGTCGTTTAACTCTCTAAGCACGATGGCAATTTAAAACTTCTAAATTGTGCTGACGGAGCACTGGCTCTTCATAATTAAATGAGAGAAACGGTATCACCAGAAGAGACTCTACGTGACTGTACCGTACGCCACAACACTGAAAATGTAATTAGATGCACCGGACATCACACAAAGCAGCAGATAGTAATCACACAACAGGAAATTAAAAACAGACAGTACTTAAGAACTATCCGTGTGTGTTTGCAGTAATATTCTTCACGGATAGATGTCCAGTCAGTAAAGCAGGTAATTGGTTCGGACACATGTCTCTCATGAACTCACTTCCGCCTTCATAGAGCAACGTATCTGCTCCTTTGTTTTCTCCAACGCATGTTCGCTTTAGGACGGCTTCATCAGCATCGACTGCTCGGCTCGTCTCTGGCCGATTTAGAAGAGAGAGCTCCTAGCATCACTGCTGGTTATTACACACTGATGGAGGAATTGTAGCTTCGGATGCTTTTTTTACATATTCCAATTTTTTATTTTTTATTTCCAATGTCGTCATATCGAGTGACACCTGCCCGGGATAAGAAGAGTAGAACTTTCCTTGTCTACAAACTATTTACCATTGAAAGGAAATACCTACTTTTTGAAGTAAATTATTCTGAACATGTTCGATTATTATTCAGCTCGGATGAACGTACGAAAAAAGGTTTTAGTACCAGAACAACACGTGTTCCACACCACGTTGTGGTTTTGTCGCCTAAACTAAACTGTTTGTGAGAGTTTCCCTAAACCGACCTGGACGTAGCTATTTTCAGCCCAATCATGATGTCTTTCCTAAACCTAACAAGTGCTTTGCCTTCATCTAACTCTTGTGTTTAACGTAACGTCGGTCCGAAGGACACAAAACCACAAAACCAGTAGATAGCACGTGTTCAGTCAAATTATCTGAACAAATGTCTTTGGAGGTGAAACTGAAAGTGAGTAAACCGGTAATGAGGATAATTATCCCTCATAGCACAGCAGACCTTTGTAGCGCCTGACTTCTTTACAGATCTTACTGCATTCCCAGATCTCAGCAACTGGTTTGATGAACACAATGTTATTATTGCTGATGGACAAACCAAACATATAATATACCCAAGTTGTAAAGATGCAGATCAGTGTTGTAGGAAGCTTTTATCATTGCGTGGATATTTAATCCTATAAATACTCCAGCCGCTGTGGGAAGCTGCGCTGTAGCAGTAATACTAAAGTAAAGTACAAGTACTAGTACTAGTAGTAGTAGTAGTAGTTCCTCTGAGCATACCTTGGAAGGAAGCGGGCGGTCTCCCTCGGTCTCGATGATCATGCCGCGCTGCTTGCCAGTGCGGTAGCGCTTGTACACGTACTTGTAGAACAGCAGGCGGCGGTCGGCCACCCAGGCGAACAGCACACAGATGGGGAAGAAGAAGAAGGTGAGCAGCCCCTCCCACACCTGCACGACGCCGGGCGAGATCACGGACAGGATCAGGTAGAGCCAGATGTAGGCGAAGATGCTCCAGGTGGCCGTGACGAAGAAGACGCGGAGGTGCTTGACTTTCCTCGTCTCGCCATCCGGCACGACGTACACGCAGAGCCCGATGATGACGAACATGTTGAAGGCCGCGGAGCCCACGATGGTGGCGGGGCCCAGTGTGCCGGCGTGGAACCCGTGACCTATGACCTCTATGACCGACAGCAGGATCTCGGGTGCCGAAGAGCCCAGAGCCATGAGGGTGAGATTGGAGACGGTCTCGTTCCAGATCCGGACGGTGGTGGTGGTGGTTTCCCCGTTGGGTTTCTTGATGGTGATTTCCTTTTCCTGCGACGTGATGACCTCTATCGATGCCATGAAACGGTCCGAGATGATCGACACGCCCAGGAACATGTAGACCAGAGCCACGAAGTAAACCGTCGCCCGGGCCACTTTGTCCCCGAACGACGGGTTTTGGGGCTCCCAAATGGGCAGGACGACCCCCTTTGCGCACGCCTCAGGCTTGCTGCATTCGGTTTTATTGGTGGACACGGCGGAAACGGAGCTACCCAAGCTCTGCTCAGGGGGAGCGCCGGCCAACGAGGGGTGGAGCTCCAGGAGGAGAATCACCGTGAGGACTGCTATCCTCAGGGCAGGGGACCGGAGGGAGGAGTGATCCCAGCGACCCATGTCGACGTCCGAACCGGTACCGGGAGGCGACGGTTAATGAGGATGCTGAACCTTGAGAGAGAACAGAGGAGGATTGAGATTAGACCAACGTGATGAATAGTTCAAAGCACTGACATGTTTGGATAGAAGGGTTTAGGGTTGATTCCCTACTTTAATTTCAATTTAAGATTTAGGATGACACATATTCAACCAGAGTATACGGCAGATATGACTTCACAATATCATTTAAATACCTCGTCATGCATAGTAAGAAGTACTGGATTTCAGATGTAACAGGCGACATGATTCTGTGTTGCAGTAAAAGAACAACAGCGTTGTTTACAGGCTGTGTGTGTGTGTAAAGCTTTTGGCTTCTGTATTTGTTTGACTTCCAGTAAACAAGCAGTGAAAGGTCAAATCTGCATCTGTCTTAAAAAGACTAACGTTACCTCTGCAGAACTCTGAGCGGTGCGGCTGCTCACTTTGAGGCATTAAGAACCTTAAAAATCACAACACCACAAAAGAAATAGAGAACATAAGTTTCAGGTCAGCTGTTTCAGGGGAAGCGAGTTCAAATAACCACGCCAAAGATAAACTCCTGCTCAGCGCTATAGATTTCAGTGGAGCAGCTTCTGAATCTCGCTGCCACGTTCCTGCAGCAGTGAAACCCGGCGGTTCCTCCAGCGACCCGGCCACGAGCGTCTCTCTCTGATCACAACACCGGCTTATTAACTCACTGGGATCGGACTGCTCTGAAGCCAGACAGACGCCACTTTGAGCTGATTTTGTGTTCAATTCTTCTAGCTTTATAACTGGACCGTGAGATAAGAAAAGCTGCAGAAAAAATGAGGAAAAAAACAAAAACAAACAGTGGCCTCTAAAATTACCACAAACTTTTATTCATCTCATAATCTTTCTGGCAGTCAATGAATTCATCAACTCATCACTGGACACAGAAGCCTGTGATGCGTTTCTCTACCACGATAAACTGGTGGAGCTACCAACTCATTTGATGTTGAACCGTTATCTGACGCTCGGACATTGCTGAGGTTCCCCGTCATGTTCAGTGAGGATGAGAAATACTGATTAACGTCAAACAAAGTGAAACAAAAGGAGGTCAATACTCAGAAATGGCCTGCACACTGAGGTGAAGTGCTCTGAGATCATTGTCTTGAGTTGTCCGGGGCATGAGAGTGTCAACCTTCAGAATGTGTTGCAGATAATTCTCAGCTCTGACATTCAGTTTCCATGTGATGACTTTGGGGATAAAAAAAAGAGAAAAATACAAATCTGTCAGTGCTTCCACATTGACTGTGGGTAAGTGGGGAGCAGGGCCGACCTTCAATCAGAGGATCGGTGGTTCGATCCCCGGCTCTGCCAGTCGCATGTTGATGTGTCCTTGAGCAAGACACTTAACCCCAAAATTCCAAAATGTCTCCCGTAGCTGTGCCGACGGTGCATGAATGTGATAGAATCTGAATTGTAAGTGGCTTTGGATAGAAGCATCTGCTCAATGACTACTGTCATGTAGAATGTGTGTGTCCATGTTTTCTGATACACCTTTCAATACGCAGAGAGCCACTGACCAGATGAATGAGTTTGATTCTTGAAAGAATCCACATGTTTCATATCATCTCTATCTGTCTATCTGTGCGGTCAACACCTACGCATCATACAACAGTTCGTCTGATATCATACAAAGAAATACTCCGAATTCTTCGTGCGTTTTCCCACGAAAGCACAACGACAGGTGTCAGTTTCTGCTCATGACATGAATACAGTCTGTTCAAAACAAACTTCCGTCTTCACAGAAAACAACTTTAGTTCGGTTGAGGCAACAGAACTACTCGGTGAGTTTTGGAAAGATGGTGAAATACTGAGTTAGGTTCAGCAACAGATCCTGGTGTGAGTTAAAGTAATGTGACCGGTTATGTAACAAATAAACCAACGATGACTTCTCGGTTCCCACGGTTCACAAACAGGGGTCTCCAGGGTGAGAGGTATCGTGGGATATCTACAAATTACAGCATTTATTTTCATATTGCCGCTAACGCTGTATGAGAACAGGCTGCCCACACACACACACACACACACACACACACGCACACACACACACACAAGTAGTAATCCTCTTAAATGAGGGATCAATAAGAAGAGCGGAGACCCGAAACAAAGATCAGCTCAGAACTCTCCTCAAACCAGCTTCTCCCGCTGTCCAGCATGCTAACATCCATTTCCCGATAATTCATTGTTCACACTCTTACGATGCAGAAGCAGCATCAATAGTGACATCAGTACTCTTCTTATGAATCACTCTCACAGCACACGCAGCGAGGCCCTGGGCACTATTTCACATTTCAAAGTGATCAATAATTCAATGTGCTTTGGCATTTGGTGCTTTTCACTTAAGGATGTCATGTTTCTTTTGTAAAGGCTGATGGGTGCAGAGCATACTCTCTATATGTCAGCTGCTCTCTATACAACACTGTTTTCATTTCTTCTCTGCACCGGTGCGTGCTCAAGGTGCAACACAGTCTCAGTGCATGCCTCCTCCACACATAAGGCTCCTCCAACGACTGTCCGTTGGCATCATTTTAATGCGGCAATTCTTGTCCCTGTACACGAAACCAATAGATTGTAGAAAATATGATGTTTAAAGAGTAGGACAGCACAAATAAATCGAATCATTAACAGGGTAATGTGTGTAAAAATATGACATCCTAATTAAATGTAAAGATGATGTATAACCGCTGTCACTGTCATCCTCGCTGTGACTCATGATCAACACCTGCACGTCTTCATATCACAGAGAGAAGCAGACAGGAGGAGTCAGTAAAGAGTCTGATAAGACTCACCACGGGCAGACAACCGGCAACTTATACCTCACGCTGTGAGTTTAGGTCTCTGTGTGCGTCAGCTCCCCCAACCAGCAGCCGATATGAAAATGTGCACCACAGGAGGCAACCAATTCATACAGGAAATATGCTGCTTCACTTAAGATATTGCATGTAAAGAGAAGACTTAAAGGAACAGTGAAATGAAATACACTTATTGGCTTTCTAGCTAAAAGTTAGATGAGAATATTGACACCACTCTCATATGTGTCCATTGCATATGAGGCTACAGCCAAGCACCTGTTAGCTTAGCTTAGCATAAAGACTGGGAGCAGGAAGCTAAAAGTGCCTACCAGAACCTCTAAAGCTCACAAACATATACGTTATATTCAGTTTGTATAATCAGCACAAGTGGTAGTTTAGTATCTAATGTGTACGATATTAAACTCTGGGCACTGTGCAGTTATAACATGTCTCTCTCTAGAAGACCATCATACCATTTGTCATATCATTATACCATATCATTATATCATTTATCATTATACCATTTATCATATCATTATATCATTTATCATATCATTATATCATTTAT